TATCAATTTTCTCCAACTGCAGCGTGTAGTGGGACTCGTGGAGGCTGACCTCTGCCTTAATCAGTCTGGTGATCTCTTCTAGATTGGCCGGCGATAGCTTTGTCTCAGCAGCATCCCACACTCCAGACTGTTTTAGCTCCAGCCGCAGTTTTCCTACCAAATCAGACAGATCCTGTTCGCTGAGCTTCGTCTTCTGGGCAAACTGCTGCATGTTGTCCTGGATTAATCGGACGACGATTTCAACCTGCTGCGGTGACAGTTGCTGCTGCTTTTCAGCCGATTGCTGTTGCTGCAACTTCAGGTCCACCAACTGCTGCACGTAGCTGTTGACGTGGTTCAAAATGTTCTCATATTCCTCCGCAGTCAGGGCCTTCTGAATATCCTTCTCGATGCTGGCCATGTTAAGCTTAATGGCCTCGGCCTCCTGATGACCTTCTACGACAGGTCGCTCCTTCAGCCAATTCTTCCAGGGAGCTTCAGAGGGTAGACGCGCCTGCAGAGTGCCCAAAAGGGTCAAAGGCAACGACAGCAGGGACGCAAAGCCCTGGCTTTGGTTATCCTCCAACAGCGACCAGCCTGGCCAGAGAAAGAGCGAAACAAGGCAGTATTAGTTGGCAATCCTTCTACATTTCCAGTTCCAGTTCCCCACAAACGCGAATATCAAGTGGACCGGGGTAAGGGGAACCTTGTCTTTGGGGCAATTCCAACACACACAAATGCAGAAGGATGGATAGAGTTCGATTCTGGCCAACTAATATTGCTTGTTTTGCATTCTACTTACCATTTAGCGAACTTCCAACAAAAATGGCAAATAAAACCAACTATTCTTTGTACGTAAAATGTATTGTAAGAAATCGTTTGCAGTTTATTTTTTGTACAGACAAAGCCAAACAGTGAACAAGTTACAAAATTAAACGTTGTTTGACAACAATTAAGACTGTATTGAGACCGTTCATCCAACTGGATGGACGAGGGCCCCAATTGATTATACGCAAATGATTACAAAGTCTGCAAATTGAACAGCGGCGAGCTCTATCCTTCTTCCATCAGCCAGTGATGTTGCATTTTGTTGTTGTTGGGAATTGTGTGGGGTTAGATGAGGGGATAAATGTGTGGTGTGTGCCTACGCCTAAGGGAAAATGTATCGACAAAAACTATACAATATGTGCAGCGGACGGACGAAACGCGGACGAAATGCTTGAATTTGTACTCAAAATTGTTCATACAGAAGGAAGACCAAGAGTGGCTCCATCAAAAAGATCCTATCAAATGAGAAACTGCTGCAGCAGTTCGAAAACAAAACGGTAGAATCCCCGCTCCAAATGCTCTCTAAACACGCTCATAGTAAACCTGATCGTCGGCCTGAAAGATCTGACGCCCCTTGTTGACCACGTTCTGGCCGATGGTCTTCAGATACAACAAATAATCGTCGGCCCAGTCCCGCACACGCACTGCCTGCTCGGCAGCCTGCGAGCGCAGGGACTCGTACTGGGCTTGGTTTAGATACTCGCCTACATTGATCTGGGGCAACTCAGGTAGGGTGAATGTGTATTCGGTAAGGGATTTGGGTGGGAAAGTTTCATTGGGGTGTAGGTAATAGAACAGACCTGCAAAGGCGAAGTTTATTAGGCACTGCTCGATGCTGGCAGATGGCGAGTGTAAAATTAAATATGCGTGTTATCACGTGGCCAAGATTCAGTCTACTAAGACTGGTGAGTGTCAACAGCCAAGCGAGAGTATAAATAAATCCAACAGGGGTGAACCACACACATGGCATTGGTAGCTGGCCCAATTCAAGGTCACGCTCACACATATTTGAATTTACATTGCTTTTCATGCCGAAATACTCACCGGTCAGCAGCAGCAGGGGAAGCAGTATCAGCAGCAAGATGAGGAATCTCTTCTTTGACTTGTTTTCCGCGTTCGAAGACCGCAACAGCCACGTGTCCACACTCAGCACCGATCCAATGAAAAGGTAAACATACCGCAGCAGATTCGAGAATCCGCCTGCCACGGCTTGTCCAGCCCTTCCGAGTAGTCCGAGCTGCTGGCTCTGCTGTCGCCGGGCATAGTAGTTCTGATATGCATTCGTCTCTGTGGCCGAGATGTTGGTCACACGTGTCCACACCGTGGTGACAGTGCTCACGACGAGCTGAATAAGACGGACCAGCCACCAACTCTGCTTCTGCTGCCCAAAGGTGGCGTCCAGTTCGTCGGCGGAGTCGTAGTTGGCCTGCTGTGTGTACTTCGCCTGATATCGGCGGCGGATGAACTCCTCCTGTTCGGGGTTCTGCTGAACCATGTAATTGACACGCTCGTCATGGTTGCCCAGGCTCCGGCGGGACATATTGGGCATGGCCACAATGCCTGGGCCCAGGTGGCGGCGGTGGGGCGACAGCTCCGAGTAGGTGTAGTCCGTCTTGGGGGTTTTGCTGCAAGATATAAAGCGATTAGTCAAAGCTCTGATAACTTTAGGGTTACTCCACGCACTTCCAGTACTCGCCAGCATCCCTGTACTCGATGTAGGCTAGGTAGTCGCTGACATTTCCGGAGCTAAGGTTGCCGTTCGACTGGTTGAGCTTCTCCTGGGCGGAGTTCAGCGTATTCTGTGTGGTCTCCAGTTGGCTCCTGTTCCGAGGCGTAGATGTGGCGCCGCCCGAGCGCTTTGTGAAGATCGACGTGACCGTGGTGGTGGTCGAGGTCTGCTGCTTGCGCTTGGCCTCCGGTGTCATGTCGTCGCTCGAATAGTCCGAGGTCAGCTGGGCGAAGGCCTTGCTCCGAGTCTTCTTGCTACTGCTGCTCGACTCCACCACATGCTCCTCCACTATCGTTCTGCAAACAGTCGTTAGGGGAGATTTAACGGAAATGTTTGAATGTGAATGAGTAAGCCCCTGATAAGGTGCTCGCCGAAACTGGCCTAACTGCGCTAGTACAGCGTATCAAAACAAAAATACAAAAATATGCTCATAAAGCCAGGTGGCCTTCGCTGTTATTGGCTGTTGGCCGGACGCCCCAACATGCTCATTTTCGTGGCCAGAACGTGAAAACCGAATAGCTGACGGCCGAATGTCGTCATCAAGCGAACGAACGGGTACGACGCTCGCTTGAATTGCCCGCCAAAAGCAAACGAAGCTCGTCGAGTCGCCGCACCCTGTATGTGGATTTGCCTTCGTTTTCGTTTCGTTTCGAAATGTAGATTCGCTGCGAGCGTGAATAACAAGGAGGTGACGTCATGGCAGCAACATACATCGTACAAACAGACACAGACTGCGATGGGGTTATTGCTTTGCTTGTGACGCGACCGACCCTCGCGACGGCTCAAATGAGCAATGCAAATGAATTGCCCTTCCCCCTATCCTTATATGGAGAGATCTATTTGGAAGTGATCCTCAGCTACTTACTGCACATTGGGCGCCGCCAAGGACTTCTTCTTGATGTGGTGATGCACATGGCCCTCCTCGCCGGCATGCTCACAGTTTTCGTGATCGCAGCTCGAGCGGAGGAACGGCGTCTTCGATCGCGACCGGCGACGCGTCTCTATCTGATAGGTTTCTTCGCTCATGCTGTCTTGCTCCTCCTCACTTGGTCCCGGGGCCCACAAAAGGTTGGGTTGCTCGGTGGTGGCTGCAAGAGAAGACAAATAATTAACACGGCCAGCTACAAACTTTAAGTAAACATAGATCAGGGCGTGGATTGTTTACAAATGGGCAGCTGGAACACACATTATTGTGCCTGCCCAAAATGGACCCCCCTTCCCAAACCCATTCCAGTTCCCCACAAGGGGCAATGTCGAAACGCTTGACACACTTGTGGGTAATCTTTGCTTTAATGCTCGAGTGCGCCTTTCGAGGGGGGAGTGGATCGAGCATAACGCCGCATTATGCAACGCGATGCGTGTGGAAGCGAAATGAGCGCAGTGCCCGGTTTTTAATTAGAATGCAATGGGGAACCAGCCGCAGCAGGCAGGCCAGAAAGAGGCTTCTAAAAATAGGCGCAGGCGTATTCGGCTCGCGAATTGCTTGCCAGTGACCGTGGCGTGGAGTGCGGCGAGTTGTTGTTTCGGGTGGGAAACGCTGGAAACGACGCGAGGGGTGGGGAGGTGGCAGCACAGGGCGGTTCGGCGGCCACGCCAAACACAAACAGCGAACGATAATCAATATATATGTACACAAACTGCCAAAAATGGGTTCGCAACACGGGCGCAAACACTAGGTATTTCGGTAAAATGAAAACCCAAACAAGTTTTCCGCAGCTGCGTCACAGACGTCGGCGTCGACAGCGGCTGTAAAAACTGAAGCACGCACACACACACACGAGCACAACAACCTCGATTGGGCAACGGAAACTGCTTTGGGCAATTCGCACATAAATTAATCACATACTTTGTACTTATTCAGGCTCCGCCGCACTTGCAGAATTCCTTCGGCTTAGATTAGCACAGTGTGTGGCTTGGTAGCAGGCGCCGCGGCGGTTTTAAAAATAGCCTCCTCTGGCGCGACGAAAATCACGTCTTTCCGAAATGAAAATTCTGAAAATACCAAATTAGTGATACCATAGTCGAATAGAAGAAAAACACCAATAAAACAATCACACAACCAGTGCTGCCAGAATAGGATGGCCTGAAATAGCTAAATTGATAGAAAAAATGCTAGAAAAAATTTTTTTAAAAAAAGTTTAACGTTTTAAAAATGGCTAATTTTGGCGTTATTATACCCTTGTTTTTAAATTGATTTTATTATAGTGAAACAGAAATGTCAATATCAATGGTGTTCTTGACCGAATTTTTATTTGGGATTTTGTTTGAAATTTTAGCGGCTAACCTTGTTGGTTGTTGTTCAGGCTAAAAATTGCTGCTAAATATAGCGATTCACCGCCGATATTTTTTTTAATTCAGTTATTACGTCGTCAAGGAAATACGCTCTGTCATTTAGTTTTGTAGGGAATACCCTGCATGTCTTGCGAGTGGGTTATCTGGGGGTATCTGGCAGCCCTATATAAAATACTTAAAATACCTCATTAAACTGATCCGGCCACACCGCCACGACAAAAACAAGAGGTTCCAGCAATCGCAACTAAAAACTAAAATATGATTGAAATAACGTGCAACGATCGCCTGGGCAAAAAGGTAAGTCATTTCAGTACATATAGTAACTGATTAACGAGCCTTTGTATTTTCTGCTTAGGTGCGTGTCAAGTGCAACCCAGACGACACCATTGGAGACCTCAAGAAACTCATTGCGGCACAAACGGGCACAAAGCACGAGAAGATAGTCCTGAAAAAGTGGTACACGATCTACAAGGATCCCATTCGCCTATCCGACTGTACGCATAATAGCAATCTGCCAGAAACTCAATAATTGCATTTTCTTTCTTGCAGATGAAATCCACGATGGCATGAATCTGGAACTGTACTACCAGTGAATATTCGCGGGAAATGCATCCTACATCTTGATTGTATCTTTTTTTATAGCTATTATATGATAAATTAAACAATTTTGCATAAGTAGTGCGAGTCTTGTTTTGGGTAAAGAGGTACGAAAGGGGCGTCTCTATTTTTGACAAATTTAAATGCTTTGTATGGATACATATATCAATATTTATATTTCATATACTGAATATGTACTGAGAGGACAGATATAGTCCATAAACTATGTATGGACATCTAATGATGTGAGCCGGTGTGAAAATGTACCCCCTTCGTACGCCTCTGCTGCTTTTGGTATTCTTTTCACCGTCAAACAGCGTTGCCAGATCGCGGCGTAGGCGTCCGGGAAAATAACAACAAAAGATTGCAAACTACAGCCTCGAGCGAAACCTAGCAAAATGTCCATGATTCCCTTCTTTCCCACGCTGAAAGTCTCGGTGGCGAATCGCTACTGGCTGGACATGGCTCCGGCTTCCGTCAGCGAGGAGGCCCAGACGCGGCGCTACGAGGATGAACGCACCAACTGGGTGAGCATTTCTAGTCTTCGATTTTTATTTCCGTGCCACAATCTCGAAATCTCTGCAGCGGGAGTCGCTGAAAACAGCCGGCACAGACCTGCAGCCCCTGGGCAAGATGCTCACAATTCCCGGAATCGAGACCGACGACGAGGATGGTGAGTTATAGAATATCCACCAGAAGTTATAGCCTACTAAAATTGTTCTCTTACAGCCAACGACGACAGCGAGGACACAGACAGCCACGACGAGGAAGACGACGAGACAAACGACCGCGTCATTCCGGTCACCCAGGACTTCTACTCCGCTGACGACATCCAGATGAACGACGAGACCTCGCCCACAGCCCCCTGAATCGGAAGCAAAGGCCGCCGGCTGGTGGATACACAATTAGTTATTTATTTTTGCGTCACACATCGTTCCCTTTACAAACTGTAATAACAAGTGTCGTTTACTTTAGGCTTAAATAAACTAAAACATAGTAAGCAAGGTTCCTGGAGTTCTAGCACTGGAGCTGTCGTTCCTTTCTACAGGCTTGCGGACGCGTGGCAACTGCTAAAGGATAAAAGGGGTAAGCACGAAAGGGGGAGCAGAGCGGGAAACGTCTCTACTTGTGCAGCGCCGCTGTCTCCAGCTTGGGCGCCGGCTTGGAAGCCAGGCCCGAGAGCAGCTTCTTGATCTCGGCAATAGCTCGGCCGGGATTCAAGCCCTTGGGACACGTGCGCGTGCAGTTCATGATGGTGTGGCACCGGTAGACGCTGAAGGGGTCCTTAAGCTTGCCCAGCCGCTCAGCGGCATTCTCATCGCGCGAGTCGATGATCCAGCGATAGGCCTGCATGAGCACGGCGGGGCCCAGGTACTTCTCGGCATTCCACCAGTACGAGGGGCACGAGGTGGAGCAGCAGGCGCACAGGATGCACTCGTACAGGCCGTCTAGCTTGGAGCGGTCCTCAACGGACTGCAGATACTGGGCCTTGCCCTTCTGTTCACCGGCCTCGTTCCTGAAAGGGAAAACGGATTACGGATTACCAGGCGTTAGCCAGAAGAAAAGGACCAGGACTCACTTGCGCTGCAGCCAGGGCTGGATGTTGCGATACTGCTCGTAGAAGTTGTTCATATCCGGCACCAGATCGCGTACCACGTACATGTGCGGCAGCGGATACACCTTGAGCGACTTGGAGGTGTTGGTATCGATCTTGCTGATGCAGGCCAGGGTGTTGGTACCGCCAATGTTCATGGCGCAGGAGCCGCAGATGCCCTCGCGGCACGAGCGCCGGAAGGTGAGTGTGGGATCAAGCTCGTTCTTGATCTTGATGAGGGCATCCAGCACCATGGGTCCGCACTCGCGCAGATCCACCTCGTAGGTCTGCATGTAGGGCTTCTCGCCGGCGTTGTCCGGGTTCCAACGGTAGATCTCGAACTTCTTCACCTGCGGCTCCTTGGCCTCCTTGGGCTGCGCCTGCTGCTCCAGCTGTGCGGTGCCATTGCTGATGGCTCGCAGCTGGAGGGGAGATGAGAATGTTGTTGAATGCAGTCACGTCATGGCAATTTTCACCGACGCCCATTGCAAAACCGTTTACATAACATCGATCGCCGTTGGCAATTACCCCATTTGCGACTCGTTCCCCGGAGTTTTCCACGACTGAGCATCTTTCCCGGACCCCCCGTTTTCCACCTTATATAACTGCACTGGCCAAAAAGCCGCACAACACACGCCCCCGCCCCTGAAATTCTGGCCATAACCCGTGGATCGTCTCCTCCGCCGCTCACCTGGTGACGTGCTGCCACGGAGCCGACGCGGCTCAGAAGTTGTCTAGCTTCGTTGACCAACATTTTGTTGCTTCTGCTGCAATTGAAACGGCACTGCGTTTGCAATTATCGATTTGTTAAGAACAATTTCCGTTTATTTGGCGTACAAAAGTTTTGTACGAACTGGGGTGCAGTGTGACCGTCGTTGGACCAATGTTTAAAAATAAAACGTACTAAAATTGACCAAAATAATTAACCAAGGAAATAAGTCTTAGTTTTTGCTTGTATAGGTTAATAATTAGGTAAGAAATAATGTTAAATAAATTCTGATGAATGAAAGTAAATTTTTCAAGAAGGAAATACCTCATAGCATATATGTTTTAGTAGGACCCCACATAAAAGCCAAAAGCTACAAACTAGGTTCGAAACCCGAATAATTTCCCGTAGGGAATTTTTTATTTCCCAATTTAATTAATAAATTAATTAGTAAAAACATATTAATAATAAAGACACTTGCAAAAAATATATTTATAAAATACTGAACTATTAAAATCTTCATTTAATAGTTCTTTAATTCCTTAATAGAGGCAAATATGTCCCGGCATTTCAGGACTTTTTAATTTAATTCAAATGTGATCCGTTAGTGATTGGTTTAGGATCATATAGTGCCCTATTGTTACCTGAGCACAGATTTTTGATATGATTAATGCCACGCTACCATGCGAACTATGTACCTCAGAGTTTTTCTAGACTCGTCCTTTTCTGGTAATAAGTCTGTCAAGTCTATTTTGGATTGAAGAATCGTGTGTACTGTTATATTAATAAAACTCTGATACATAAATATTTCTTAAAGAAGAAGGTTGATCCTAAAAATATGAAATATGAATTTCATTTGGCTATATCTTTCCTTGTAGCTCAATTCTGAATTAATGCAAGATTTATATTTATATTTGATTAACAAGATCTTTCAAAAAATTACTGATTTTATCAACTTGTTTAATGTAGGAATCCCTTTCCTCTGTGTTTTGTACTCATTGGAATGATTCTCATGTGCTCACCAAATATAGTGACTTTGCGTTTAAGTCATGACTATTTATCTGTGTTTCATATTTTTATACCCTTGCAGGGTATATTATAATTTCAGTCAGAAGTTTGCAACGCAGTGAAGGAGACGTTTCCGACCCCATAAACCATATATATTCTTGATCAGCATCAACAGGGGAATCTTTCTAGACATGTCAGGAAGAAATCGATTTTTTGGCCATTTTTGCAAAATTTTATAAGGGGTTACATCATTAAAATTTTTGATTTTGATAATAAATTGAATTTTCAAAATTTTTAAATGAAGTATGCAGATTTATTAACTGTAGAAAATCTTGCACAGAGCAGTTTTCCGATTTAAAATTAATGCTCTTTTGGCCGAGTTATGACATTTTTAATTTAAAAAAAAATCAAGAAGTTTTTTAATATAAAAAATCAGATTTTATAATACAAAATAATATTTTCTAAGTCAAGGAATCATTTCCGACCCCATAAACCATATATATTCTTGATCAGCATTAACATGCGAATCTTTCTAGTCATGTCCGGAAGAAATCGATTTTTTGGTCATTTTTGCAAAATTTGATAAGGGGTTACATCATTAAAATTAGCAAAAATGGCCAAAAATTTTGATTTCTTAAAATTTTAAATTCTGTATACAGTTTTTTTAAATGAATAAAAACTAACACAAAACTGCTTTCCGAATCGAAATTAATGCATTTTTGGCCTAGTTATGATATATATTTTAATTGTTACCTGCAAGGGTATACAAACTTTAGCTGGCCAAAGTTAGCTTTTTTTCTTGTTTTACATTAGTTTATTTTAAATCGTTAGATTTATAGTGTGTTTATTGCTTATTTTATTGATTTTTTTGCTGGAGTATTGCATCATTTGCAAAGTTTATGCAATATAATTTTTTAAACATATTTTTATTTATATTCGAGTACTCGAAATAAATAATTCGTTAACAATTTAATAAAAAAAAATCGTCCCTACGAATATATTGTTTTTTTGGTTTTAACAAATATTCTTGATAATGCTAAACAAAACAAGTTGAATTTACAGCGTATGCTAGGTATCATTGGAAAACTGTCAGTAATCAATAGCAGTTTAAATTACAGCGAATCTTTTTTAGAAAAAAAATAAAAATAATGCCCAGGCAAATGTTTCATTTACGGGCACTTGACAAGTGCCTGGGTCCAACTATTATGTAAAACTTTTTAAATGGCGTTTGCTGAACTCGAGACGGCAGCACAGCGACTTTGTCAATTGTTTAGTGACCTTTTGTTGGTGGGAAAACTTTTGCGGACTTTTCCCCCACCACCATCTCTTCTCATTTTCACCTAGGAGGTAGAAAAGCCCGAGTTTCGACTTGCTTTATGAGTCGCTACCTCCAAAGAAGCGGGAGAAAAAAAACTTTTTCAATGTTAAAGCAAACACGGGCAGCCACTAAAGTTGCCTGCCGTCGAGGGACGCCATCATCCACCCATTCAGCCGCCCACAACTCCTCGTCCGCCTATTAAAGGCAAATAAAAACAATGAGCGCGAAACTTAAATAAAACCGCTCAAGGAGAGAGCGCCGAGCCGGGGATTTTATTTGTGTACTTTGCTTTTATTCGGCAAGAAGTGAGGTCATAACAGAAGGCTGTAGATTTATCTTCTATGCACTGAGAGTAAAACAAGGTATTAAAATAAGAAGTTTGATGGAAATGATGATATCTGTCAAAAACGTTTAGTAAAATTAATTTATAAAGCGAAGCACTGAATAGCTGCCGAAATTAGCCTGAAGGCCTTAGTCGTTAGTTAGTATTCTATAAATTGTATTTTTTATTACAATAAAATTAAATAAATTAATTAATTAATTTTGAAAATAAATAAAAAGTAAATAATGCATACTGAGTTTCTGTATATGGAAATAATGGCAAATTAATTATAATACTTAATCTAATACATATAATAATTGAAGTTCGCTCATTAATTGAATTAAAAGACTGTCACAACCATTTGACTAATGATTAATAACTCTTTTCTTCCAGTGCAGTCTGTGAATTGTTTTGATTTCAATTTAAGTACTGCTAATGCATGTAAATGACGGCGGACGCCGAGCAATTAATCAAGCATGGCCGAGTAGCTTGTCGCTCAACTGTTGCCTACTTTTAAGGGCCGAGCAGAAGTGCCAGAAGCAGGCCGCTAAGGAATGGCTTATGAACCAGAATGGGGACCACTTCATAAATGTCTGGCCCCCAGCCAGTCCACGTACCCCAACCCCCTCGCTCCCCACATTATTTGCGTGTGCCATTTTCGGCATGACGCAGGCCCGCGACAGATACACACCGCATTGCTTTGCTTTAAATCTTAATATGCCCTGGTGCCTCGGCCGAACTTCAGCCACTCACTCAATGGTTTCAGCTTTACTGCGGAAAAATGATCGATTTGCTGATATAACAACCGTTTATTTGCCATTCGTTCCCGTGCCGACGTGGGTGTGTGTGCGTATTGAATACGACTAACTTGGCTAACAATAGACGCAAGCGGCACGAAAATAGCAATTTTATTCGCACATTTGTCTGGCTACAAGTCTGTTGCGCTGTTGTTTGGTGTCAGGGCCGGGGCGGGCGAGTGTGTGCGTGTGCCTGTCCGTGTTAACTGTGCGACAATATTGTCAAAGTTTTGTGTATTAAACTGGCATTCATAGTACG